CCTGAAAATGTCCTAGAGTTAGGGTTTTGGTTGCAGACTTCCGCTATGGATTTTGTGGTCGCGTCAGGCAAAGGTTTTTCAGGATTTGGCGGGATCCAGGTGGGGTTTAGTACACAAATCATAATAACTAGTTAGACCATCCCGGTATCGTTCCCCTTTCAGGATACGAACGTAGATTCCCAATCTTCGAAGTACTAAGACCCCTCTATTTTCGTATCAGGTGTAGGGATAACACCTCATCCGCTGCTGCGTGGATGCAATAAACTGCCACGTGACTCTGGGTAGCTTGATGAGTAGAGCTTATAGCCTTCATGTACCTGGCAATCCTACGTCCATCCTTTTGCGAATATGCAGCGCGGAGAAGCAGAGAGGGCGAGAAGCCGAGAGAGAGTGAGATACATGATCTTGGTCGGTATGATATAGGTAGGAAGAAGGAAGGCGGTTGCGAGAGAGGAAGAGGGAGAGAAGAAAATACAAGGAGAAAGATCAACAGTGAGAGAGGCACCCGAAAAAGGAGGAGGAAGTGAGAGGAATAGGGAGACAGCAGAAGAGACAAAGACGGAGATACATTTAGAACAATGACGGAACAAGTGATCGGCCGGTCCAAGCTCTGCTTTTTTTTGCTTCAAGTCCTTCTTGTCTCATCGCCCGCAGAAGACGATTCTCCTGTGCAGAGCTCTGGTACTACCACTACCACTACTACTATACNNACGGTTACGACGACGACGACGACGACGACGACGACGACTACTACTACTACTACTACTACTACTACTAGTACTACTACCGATGTTACTACTACTATGTACGCTACGGGATTTGCAGATATTCCCTAAACCCTAAACCCAATTGAGTCTAAGAGACTTGGGGGGGCGGTTGGGGCAGGCGGAGTCGAGGGGTCAGGGTGCTGGCCTAAGCCGAAGCTTAGGGTTGGGCTTAGGGGTTTAGGGTTTAGGGCTTTGGGTTTAGGTTTTGGGTTTAGACCCCTATAGAATCCTCAACAGAAGCATGCAAGAGCCTCAAACAGCTTCCCGGCAAACACGCTGTAAACACTCGACCTGAACCAAGAAGGGTTTAGGGCTTAGGGTTTAGGGCCCCCGGACTGTTCCTTGCCTTGCCCTCTGCGAGAGGAGAGAGCACGGGAGAAGCCTTTCCAGGTCAGTTTACATTTTTAACGGTCCCTGTGTAGGGGTTTCTGTAAATGCACCACAAGGATGAGGAGTACGGGTATGAGGTTTCAAGTCTTGTAATACGGCTGGGTCGGGGTAGGTCTTGCTCAGCACCCCTTTGGGTTGAAGGGAGTTTGAGGACTCACTTTTTATGCAAGACTTTCGGTCTTGTGACTTCAGCTTTCGAGATTGCAGAGTGAAGGGTGCCATTCTTCTTCTAACGTCTATAGAATCAGGTTGACAGTTTAAAAGTTCAAGGGTGTAGGGCTTAATTAAGGGCTTCGAGCTCACATCTTTCAGGCTGCTGAGGGTATAGGGCCAAAATCGTTACAGTACGGGCTGTGTCTGGCGCTTTGTGGGGGCAGGGGTCGTCCAGGTCGCTGCTTCCTTAAAATTGCAGTACGCAGCGATGACATGGCGACATACCGTGCCAGCCCTCGGGTTGTAGAGCAGAAGAGCCACTCAGAAAGGAGGAAAGATCGCACCCTTGACCCTCAGAGCCGCAGCTGAAGCTAGTACTGAGTAAAAATAACAATAACAACAACAATTTTAAAAAGCTGGTAGTAAAAATAATGGTAGTAGTTTAGGGCCGTAGGGACCCCTTTAAACCGGGATCCCTTTCAAAAGGGAACCCTTCTAACGGGGATCCCTTAAAACCAAGAAAACCCAGGCCCCGCTGTGCCCGAAATCCTAAACCCAAGACCGTAAACCCTGAACGCCAAGACCCGAAAACCAAAAACCCAAAACCCGACGACCCAGCTCAACCCTTAGAGACGTTCTAATGTCTATCGGCGAAGTCTGTCGGAATGCTATGGCATCAAACCCC